GATTATTGGAATAAAGCGATAAAACGAATAAAGAGAATATTTTTTGTAAAGACTAATCACTTTTGACGTTACTACATAATATAGGGAAGAATAAACTGTTACAATGATAGTTCAGTTCTCATTTAAGCAAAACCTAACGAAGGTTTTCTTTAATATAATCATTAGTTCGACAGTGTAATCATATACTCTATATTATGTGATATGTATTCAATGGTATAACTCCTTCACAGTTTAACTTATCTAAGTTTATTCATATAAGGCCCAATACATTGCATATTACACGAAATACAAAAAAATCTGTTAAGTATTAAATGTTATCGCTATTCAATAACAATAATGAGTATCATCATCATGAGTTCTATGAGTATTATCTAGAGCAATAATAAGACCTTTGGCATATAAAAGATTGATGAGATTGTAAACATGAGTTTATTATAATTATATTAATGAACAGGCAACATGATGGATCGAAGTTTTGATAACACATGGGGCGGCATCTGGGACTTCTCTACCTGTACAAACCTTATTAAAATACAAAATGAATTCCAAAGAATATTCATTTACAAAAATTGATCACGTAATTCTTTTACCTATAGTACAGTGACATTAATTGTTACCAAACTAGCAAAAAAATATACAAGTAATTAGTGAAACATCTACCGCTTAAAGAGTGAAATTATTACTTCCAAGGACATTGATTTAAAACCTAGAGTTAAAGAGCCATTTAGTATTGTGATTGTCTAAGCTTATAAGTAAATCAAATAGACAAGCTATTCAGCTTGTTCAATTGTTTAACTTCACCTTGAGTACAAAAGAGGATACGTTCCGCTCAGGGCCAAGTTTTATGTAAAGGTTTGTGTTTAATATTTCATCTACACTCCTACGCTCCCGCCTGCTGCATTCTTTTGATTACCGAAAGCCCTTTTGAGAGTGAGTAAAGAGCTGTGGGGAGAACTTTTAAATGAACGATAAATGCAATCATAGCTTGTGAGCGTAAAATAAAAAATAAAAGGTACAATTAATACTTTTGGAATAATAACCTCAATACAGATTTTTACAAAAGATCCAGCTAAAGGTGAGTGTGACGATTTATGAATGTAGTTAATTATTATATTAGGAAATTGACTGATAATATTTAAGCATAGGCTTAGATTCCTTGAAAATAGCTAAACATTCAACTGTACATTTATAGCCAATCAGGTGATTGGATTAAACTCACCAGCCCTAAAGGGCTCTGCACATTGTGATAGCATTACTAAGCATTGTGATAAGGTGCGATATGAGTGAACACTGAGCAATCGCAGAGCACAGCTGATTGTATAAAGAGTCTGGTAGCTCCATATGGCATGCTAACTATCAGCTGTTGCTCTACCAATAAATACCTAAATCAGCTGATTGTGTAAACATATGAAAAAAGCTGTGGTTGAGTTTATTCTGCTATCAACTTTGGGTTATACAAATGGAAATGTTTATCCTCTTCCTAAATTACTGTTCCTACACTTCTCGTGCTCTATACTTTTGGAATTTTGATATACTTCAAGCTTTCTGTCTTTACTGCTACTCTAGCAAAAGGTAGACAAGGTAGTCGACGGTAGAACATCAATAATTCACTGCAGACTGCGGAGAAAACACACATGCTGAAATAATAAACAGTCTTCCGGCCGCCACAAGTAGGCCTCGACAGGTATATCTGATGTTTCTAGATAGGGATCTTCTTTACTAACAAGTTGATAAGTTGAATGAAATATCCTGGCAATATGTAGGCATATACTAAACATATTAGATGGCTGAATAAACTAAAAAAATCCATAATCTTTTCATACATTTACATTTATGTGTAAATTTTGCTTTAATATCAAGCACAATTACGTAAATGTAGGTATCTAAATGCTTCCAGGATTCAAGAACTATATCCCAAAATGTTCTAAATGTCAAACACCTAAGACAAACTTTATATTTCTGACTTTAAATACAGTTTTTATCTCTTAATTTTTATAAATGCACTTAGTTGGCATTGTTATTTTACAAATATGCGCTTGGTATCTTATCTTATGTTGTTGTATTAGTGAGTCGGTGGCTCAGTCGGTAGCGTCGCGGACTTCGGGCCCAAGGCAGCGATGTCGTGGGTTCGGATCCTGGTCACTGCCACTAACTTTTATCAGTACAGTTCACCTTTGTACTGTACCGGCTCACCCCTTGCTTTGGTGAATACGTTCCACGCACAGATCTGTAGTCTATGTGGACGGGCAAATGCAAGGTTAAAAGAGGCCGCCAACCTCTTAAAAAAAAAAAAAATTGTTTGACAATAATTTATTGTAATATAACAGAGTAACTTTAGACAAACAATAGTAATATCATTAATAGTATAATCACTATGTTTTCCCTTGTTAATTCTGGTTTTAACCAAATGTTTAATATAGGTTACATGTTTTAGTTGAATTAATGTAAAAACATTATTTACAGAATTCTAACACCTGATTGGGAACTATTTATTTTCGTGACAGGTGACGGTTATTTTACGGTCCATGGGAGCGAGTCCTGTTAATATTATTGGTGGGCGTATCCACAGTGCTTTACAGGTGTATTTACCCATCAGCTGTTGTCTGATGCAGGATGTTGAACATAGGGGAGGGTTGTTCGTGACAGCGGTGGTTTCCCAGGCCGCAGGTGGTACTGGATAGTACAACAGTTCTAGGGGATAAAAATTAAATAGAAGAGTAGTAAGGGTTTAATAATTACTGTAAACCTTTCATAACAGTAAGGAAGATAATTTACTATAACCATTGGGAATATAAGCTCCTTAAAAGTATCAGTGATACCGTTAATGAGATAATATCACGAATACTAGAACAGACACGGTATGGATCACAAATATAAACAAAAAATTAATATTATTTAACATTGCTTAAATGGAGCTGTTCAAAACATATTTGGTAATACGGAGTTTTTAAAATACATATCGCGTTGTAGTTTCACGTCAGCAATAGTAGTGATGGCGAGCAGCGTTATAGACAATGCCCCTTTTGTTCCTACTACTACTACCACGTCAGCAATAGCAGTGATGGCAACTAGTGATCTAGACAGTGTGTCTGTTGTCCCTATTACAAATCCAGCAATAGCAAAGGTGGCAACTAGTGATCTAGACAATGTGTCTGTTGTTCTTCTACAATTCCAGCATTGAACATGATGTCAACTAGTCATGTAGACAATATGTCAGTTGTTCCAACTTCAACGTCAGCAATAGCAGTTACTTAATCATAACTTCCCATTGTAACGTAATTTCCCATTGTAAAATTTTAAACTTCATTTTCGTGTCTGGTTCATGTTGGTGTCACTGTGATGAGTACGAGTGTCTACGAAATGTTGTTTCTATTATTTAAGGGCTACTTTCTTTATTTGTGATTTACTGTTTGGTTCAATAGCTAGGGGATGAGTTATTGTTTATGATTATATCGTTTTATTTGGTTAAACGAGGTTTTATATACCTGAAATAACAGGAAAGAAATTGTAAACAACAACACGATAGTAAATATATTTTAATATGATAATAAATATGTTTTCAGTTATAAGGATTGCAAATCTACTAAAGAAGTATGTTTTATCCATGGGCCTAGGTTGTAAATTTCTTAAATAACGATTTACAGAATGATATTTTACAACAACCAGCCATAATATTTATAAAATGTGTTTATATTAAAATGGTAAAACTATGATTAACAACAAAACTGGGACGATTATTACTGTCACAAGAATATATAAGAAACATTTCTATGACAAGTCAGCAAATCCTCCGAAAAAACTAATCGTGTGAACTTAAAAATAAATTAAATTGGAATACGAATTAATATAATATTTTTTTTACTTTTTAAGCAACTTAAAATGTATATTCTCACAAATAGAGCTAGATTTCAACTAGTTTATTATGTGTGCATATAATTGTTTTTCTCGAGAGTTGTAACAAATTATGGATTGGACGAAACTCTCTAAGTCTTCAACTTCACCATTTCAATTAAGTAATTGTTATTGATATTACTTTCCTTTCACACATAAAATGTACTTTATTTAGCTGAGTATCGATTAGGGAAGTAAATAAAGTAACCTGGCAACAAAAACACAACAGTAACTCCAAGACAAGATTACCCGCATGACCATGGATGTGAATTTCGGAAATTTCAAATCACTTTTTTGGTTAAACTGTGTGATAGGAACAAATGTCACTTCATTGAAAACACTGAAGTATCACACAGGCAAGGTTGTTTATAGTTTATCGATAATAGTGATGTACGCAAGTGAAATACTCATCTACCTGTACAAAGAATCCTATGAAGGTGTTGATAGTAGATTAGTAAAGATTGTGATGTTTATAGAAAACTGTTGCATAGAATTGGCCATATTCATGGCAATACTTGATCAAAAGACCATTATTTCTGTAGCTTTGACCCTTGAGAAGATTAAAAGTGAGTTAACACCACAACACAATGTTGAAAGTAGTATGGCAAAGTCGTACCAAGCCTTATCATGGGCTATTGCTGGTCTCATCTCCCTACTCAATGCCTATCAAGCTTCGAGGTGGCTGCCAAGAACCTTCCCCATCACATACTTCTATACAACTTTGCATTATACAACCTTTTGGTTCGTTCAAGGTTTAACAACCATAGTCTTTCTGAGCAGCATTAGAGATACACAGATTGTTATTGTAAAAGAAATGACGAAGATTCATGAGACAAACAGCGAATCTTTCAATGAATGTTTGACTCAAAGAAGGACTCCAGAAAGACAGCTGAAAATTCGTTTCCTTGAAGAAGGACACCTCAAAATATTGAAGGTTTTGCAAAGAGACTTATCAAACACTGAAATGAAACTTAAAGAATACGTTTGGATCACAGCTTTTGGATTGGTAGCCATCATTGTGGGGTATCACACATTTACCATCGCGGAAAGAAAAATATCATTGGATACGTATTTGTCCTCAGCATTTCCACTCATTGTGGTTTTCTTAGTTATAGTCATGAAAGTCAATCAACTACATCAACTGAAACAACAGACAGGTCCACAGTTATTTAGCACTCTATATGACTGTCAGAGTAAGTCTCTGTGTAGAGATGTCAAACACCAGATGTTAGCAAACATCCATCGCACCTATCCGTTATCTTGCCAAGTGTTCAACGTGGACGTTGGACTTGTCGGTGAACTAGTCGAAGTTATTCTTTTATTGATGGTCACGTTTTCAGTTGATTAGAGATCCAAAGAATCTGTTTGTACAAAGTTCAAGATAAGTTAAAATTAGTATTGTATTACCTAATCACATGAGGAATATTCCATTAGAAAATATAGTTAGTAGACAATGAGCCTGTTGTTCCTACAACTACCACATCAGCAAAAGCAGTGATAGTGAGCAGTGCTGTAGACAAAGCTTCTGTTATTCCTACTACTACCACGTCAGCAATAGCATTGATGGCGAGCAGCATTATAGACAATGTCCCTGTTGTTCCTACAACTACCACGTCAGCAATAGCATTGATGGCGAGCAGCATTATAGACAATGTCCCTGTTGTTCCTACTACTAACACGTCAGAAATAGCAGTGATGGCAAGCAGCGTTATAGACAATGACTCTGTTGTTTCTACTACAACGTCAGCAATAGCAGTGATGGCGAGCAGCGTTATAGACAATGACTCTGTTGTTCATTCTATAACGTCAGCAATAGCAGTGATGGCAAGCAGTGCTATAGACAATGCCTCTCTTTTGCATACTACCTCGTCAGCAATAGCAGTGATGGCAAGCAGCGTTATAGGCAATGACTCTCTTTTCCCTACTACCACATCAGCAATAGCAGTGATGGCGAGCAGCGTTATAGGCACTGACTCTCTTTTCCCTAATACCACATCAGCAATAGCAGTGATGGCGAGCAGCGTTATAGGCAATGCCTCTGTCGTTTATACTACCACGTCAGCAATAGCAGTGATGGTAAGCAGCGTAATAGACAATGACTCTGTTGTTCATTCTATAACGTCAGCAATAGCAGTGATGGCAAGCAGCGTTATAGACAATGACTCTGTTGTTTCTACGACAACGTCACCAATAGCAGTGATGGCGAGCAGCGTTATAGACAATGACTCTGTTGTTCATTCTATAACGTCAGCAATAGCAGTGATGGCAAGCAGTGCTATAGACAATGCCTCTCTTTTGCATACTACCTCGTCAGCAATAGCAGTGATGGCAAGCAGCGTTATAGGCAATGACTCTCTTTTCCCTACTACCACATCAGCAATAGCAGTGATGGCGAGCAGCGTTATAGGCAATGACTCTCTTTTCCCTACTACCACATCAGCAATAGCAGTGATGGCGAGCAGCGTTATAGGCAATGCCTCTGTTGTTTCTACTACAACGTCAGCAATAACAGTGATGGTAAGCAGCGTTATAGACAATGACTCTCTTTTTCCTACTACCACATCAGCAATAGCAGTGATGGCGAGCAGCGTTATAGGCAATGCCTCTGTCGTTTATACTACCACGTCAGCAATAGCAGTGATGGTAAGCAGCGTAATAGACAATGACTCTGTTGTTCATTCTATAACGTCAGCAATAGCAGTGATGGCAAGCAGTGCTATAGACGATGCCTCTCTTTTCCCTACTACCACGTCAGCAATAGCAGTGATGGCGAGCAGCATTATAGACAATGCCCCTGTTGTTTCTACTACTACCACGTCAGCAATAGCAGTGATTGTAAGCAGCGTTATAGACAATGACTCTCTCTTCCCTACTACCACGTCAGCAATAGCAGTGATGGCAAGCAGCATTATAGACAATGCCCCTGTTGTTCCTACTACTACCACGTCGGCAATAGCAGTGATGGTAAGCAGCGTTATAGACAATGACTCTGTTGTTCATTCTATAACGTCAGTAATAGCAGTGATGGCTAGCAGTGCTATAGACGATGCCACTCTTTTCCCTACTACCACGTCAGCAATAGCAGTGATGGCGAGCAGCATTATAGACAATGCCCCTGTTGTTCCTACTACTACCACGTCAGCAATAGCAGCGATGGTAAGCAGTGCTATAGACAATGCCTCTCTTTTCCCTACTACCACGTCAGCAATAGCAGTAATGGCAAGCAGCATTATAGACAATGCCCCTGTTGTTCCTACTACTACCACGTCGGCAATAGCAGTGATGGTAAGCAGCGGCGTTATAGACAATGACTCTGTTGTTCATTCTATAACGTCAGTAATAGCAGTGATGGCTAGAAGTGCTATAGACGATGCCCCTCTTTTCCCTACTACCACGTCAGCAATAGCAGTGATGGCGAGCAGCATTATAGACAATGCCCCTGTTGTTCCTACTACTACCACGTCAGCAATAGCAGTGATGGCGAGCAGCGTTATAGGCAATGCCTCTGTTGTTTATACTACCACGTCAGCAATAGCAGTGATGGTAAGCAGCGTTATAGACAATGACTCTGTTGTTCATTCTATAACGTCAGCAATAGCAGTGATGGCAAGCAGTGCTATAGACGATGCCTCTCTTTTCCCTACTACCACGTCAGCAATAGCAGTGATGGCGAGCAGCATTATAGACAATGCCCCTGGTGTTCCTACTACTACCACGTCAGCAATAGCAGTGATGGCAAGCAGCATTATAGACAATGCCCCTGTTGTTCCTACTACTACCACGTCGGCAATAGCAGTGATGGCAAGCAGCGTTATAGACAATGACTCTGTAGTTCATTCAATAACGTCAGTAATAGCAGTGATGGCGAGCAGCATTATAGACAATGCCCCTGTTGTTCCTACAACTACCACGTCGGCAATAGCAGTGATGGTAAGCAGCGTTATAGACAATGACCCTGTTGTTCATTCTACAACGTCAGTAATAGCAGTGATGGCGAGCAGTGCTATTATAGACAATGCCTCTCTTTTCCTACTACCACGTCAGCAATAGCAGTGATGGTGAGCAGCATTATAGACAATGTCCCTGTTGTTCCTACTACCACGTCAGCAATAGCAGTGATAGCGACCGTGGGAACAAGGTTTAACCCGGGGGGGGGGTGTTTATGGGGTAAAAGTAGGGTTTTCTCATTTTTGAAGTAGTGGTAGTACTCAATACACAAAATTTCCCAATTTCTCTTTAGACCTTAAATAGCTTAAAAAACAAATAATTTTGTATACCAAATTGTTTTTGTACAGTTTTTAATTTTTTACAATAAATTAAGAATTTGAAATTCCTATGTTATTCTTATGGAGAATATTGTAAAATGTTGTAGTTTGCTTGTATATGAAGATATTTTGATCAAACTTGGCAAATTGAGTATTTTATGTTATAAGCTACTAATATTATACTAAAAACACACTTTATTAGCCTCGGCAAACCTAGGTACTTGTTAAACCTAATGTTATTTAAATAGATTTAATTGAAAATCAATTAAGGCAAATGGAAAGTCGCTCAGTTTGCAGGGTTGCTTCGGTGGGGGGTCTTATAATTTTATAGTGATATTTTCCATCGATATGTGTTTAAGATATTGTAGTAGTTTAAATGAAAACTGCATTGCTATAACATAATATCAAGACATAATTTTCTTGGACTATTACGGTGGCACGGTCGGACCAAGCGAGGTAGGATTACTGAGGTTCTACTGTTCTTTAAGATAAAAATAACTATTCAAACGAGATAAATGGATGCCTGGTAAATACAGAAAAAGACAAAATATTTGATTTTTAGAGTTAATTATTATTAATGATAACTATTTCAATTTTAATTTAGTAAACATTCCCAACCCTACGTTATTTGACTGTTGAATGTTTATGAGGTAAGAGAATCCTCCCGTTCCAAGTGACCCACATGCCACATATAAATCTAGATTTACCTAACAACTCTATCAAACCTAGCCTACTTATTTTCTATAAATTGAAAATGATAAGATTGGGTAAGATAGAGTAGGTAATGTAAATGTAGATTTATATTTGACTCACTTTCAAGCTGGAGTATCCCCTGGCCTCCAGAAATTGCAATGTAGTCAAAACACTTAAAGTATGAAAAGTCATTTAAACTAAATGTCTGAAAATATTCAACGTATTGAAAATGACGGTAGTGGCCTACTATTTTAACTATTCAAATTTTAAAGAACCTCATTTTAAATACAACAATGAGAAACAGTTTACAATGAGTTGTAAATTGCTTAGTGATGTTTGGTCATATTTACTCATTTTACATTACACTTAAACTAAATTTAAATTACATTTAATGTAAAAGGGACTAAGTTTTTCGCAGATTGGTGGCTTTTGTAAATAGTAAGTTTCGCAAATGATTAATCTTTCTAACAGTCAAAATCAATTTCTAATAAATTATTTAAATACAATAACGAAATTTATGCTTGAGGTGATATCTATATCTATCTATATAAATAAAATTACAGTTTTGTCTGTACATTGCTTAGAATCACGCAGTTTTTGGTTATTTTTACGTTTCATAGCCTAAGAAAGCCGAAACGAGTCTTATCTCAATTTCTGTCTGTATGTCTGTCCGTTTGTCCATTCTGTGACTTCGTCTGTAACGCCAAAATGTCATTTTACGCGGCCTACTCCTAGAAAACTAGAGTACCGATCAAGGTTCTAATCATTTTTCTGTATTTAATGAATTGGTAAGAATGCCTTTGGCTATAAAAACATGGCCTCGCTTCTTTGAAAACAAAATAACAAACCACCAAAAACCCATTTTTGTTCGATTTTTGTCAAATTTTATCAAAATGTTTACTATTACATTTTATGAAATAACGATCAGCTGTTTGGATTAGTTCTCACTTCTAGCTGTCACTGATATGTTTACATGCAAAGTTGTTTAAAAATACCGCAACCATTTCCGATCAAGTTTTGTTACCACATCCAAAAACGTTGTGCCTTACTTAACCGGTTTAATTAATCGCAAGTGCAACGATTGTTCTTGAGTTTTGATAACCGGGGAAAATACCGTGAATCAGTGTTGTATTAGTGCAAGGAAACTTACATTTTTTTAATCATCGTCACCAATACTGTAGCTTACAAAGGTTTCCACTCATTGACGGCGCTTCAAGGACAGTTGTGTTACAGTTGTGTTAAGTGCAAAGTAAAAATTACAACTGCAGTGGGTGATCCTGGATGTTGCTGCGATCTTGGAAGATCTTTCTGATTTCTCTGTGATCGTACGGTAACAGAGGTTTAACTTAACAGATGTAGCTAAACTCGCTTATCCAATGTGTAAATTTTGGTTTCTACTTTCTTACATATCGACAACGATATTGGTACTTTTCCTACTTAGGAAATAAAACTACAAACGTACAAAGCCCCAGATTTGTGCGTTTTTGTCACATTTCCTCCGAATGTTTGCTAGATATATGTACCGATTATCGTTTAGAGATTACGTACCGGTAATTTTTTAAATAAGAAACCTTTGTTTGGATAAAGGTAGTTTCTTCAAACTGTCATTAATATGTTAACATCTTTTCTCAAATGTAAACGTTGGTTTTTGATACTGCAACTTTTCTTTAGAACCGGTGGTAGCAGTAAGAATCATTTTTACATACAAACACATCACTATTTTCAATATTTATTTATAAACACTGCACCTTATTGCTTATTAAATTTAATTGATGTCTTACTGTCTAATTTTTAGCGTTTTCTGTCTGGACTCCAAAATGTTGTGTGGACTCAATTCTGTATTTGTGTGTGTATGTCGATTGGTAACGCATTAATGTCCTTATTTTTCGTGGAAAAGACAAGAGCACCATTGTTAATAAAAATCTCAACCCGAATAAAGTGTGCAGTAGTGAGGTTGAGGTAGTTTTTTAACTACTTTTAACCAATGTGAAAAGTAACTTTCAATTACAGGCCTACCTTAGGGCTATACCTCACAAATCTATACTGTAAAGCAATTCCTTTCATCGTTAGATATAAAATATGGACTAACACGATCGGGTGACATTTAATTGCGAAGCATTCGTTTTGGCTTTGAAACTGTCAGATATTGTATACGTAGAACGGGCAAACAGCTAGTAATTAATATATGTTAAATAGTAAAGATGCATTTTATTATGCCTATATAACGATACACTTACATGTTACTACAAAAAAAAACCTACCAAGAAACATTTAATTGCTTAACATCGATAAGAACTCAATTGTTACTATTACCACGCCTAAGAGCCGCATTAAACTAAATATTACAAAGTGTAATAAAATGCAGTCCTAGTCCACATGCAGTACTGCACAATAGATATAGTGTACAAGTACTGTAGCACGAGAGACATAAATTCTTAGGTAGGCGTTGATTTTATGGTTGGCGTGTGCAAAAACGTTTAATAGGTTGATAAACAACATTGCTTCGTTTTTATCTTCACAACATATGTTGCATAAGCTGTTTTATCTATTTTATGATAGTTTACAGCCTACTAAGTTTAATTTAACTGTGCGGAAGGTCCCATATTTCAGAACAAAATTTGTTTAGTTTTTTAAGCCTGCGACACAAACTGCTAACCTTGAGACCAATTTATTTAACCTTCTTCCAAAAGATGTTTGTTCAAGTGCTAATTCTACAATATTTTTTAATAAGTTATAGAAGGTGATGTTAATTTTACGTGATGTTGAAATATGTTCGTCCCTGAAAGGGAAGTGCTCTTTTTTCGTTATTTTTTTTTACTGTGGTTTATTGTTACTTCTATCACTTAAACCCTATTTAGATCTGTTGAAAAACATCTTGCTTTTTAATTATTTTTTAAGTTTTTTAAGTATAAATTAGCTATTATTTGCGTTGTATTTCTGTTATATATAGCATTGCTCAATAAAAAAATGAAGTACCAACCCATTTAATTTGCATTTAGTCATTGCTATTTTTTGTGGTAAGTAATTATAAGTGTGTTATTTATAAGTTGTTGTTTGAGTACACTGTACTGTTAAACGAGTTAAGATATTTTGAAATAAAACAAAATAAAAATAAATATTAAATCAAATTGAATTTGAATTAAAATGCAATTCAAGCCAGTTAGTCAGTTGTAGCTCCCAAAAGATCTAATTTAGTTTAGTGGATTACGTGCTACGCATCATGACTTTTGAGTTACGTTTAATTATCAGTAGAAATTATTACCTGGTAATGCGCGATGAAGTTTGTAATAATTGACTTTCATACAGGCTGGAAATCCATAATATAGGAATCAATAATTTTCAAACTCCACTTTTCTGTTCCTTTTCCTGTTTCATTGTAAAACTATCCTTTGGTAATTACATACAGAATTTGATATATCTTCTTAGATATTTAAATAATAAACTTCTGACACTTATTATTTTATTAGACAAACTACAGGTTTGCATTAATGACTTGTTTAAGTTAAAGCTCTTTTCACATATTTGTTGTGGATGTATTTTAACCATCTTTTGACATCTGGTGTTATTTATATGGTAAAGTAAGTTTCTACTCACAACTTAAACTCGAAAATGTTGATGAAAACATTTAAGAGACATTTAAAAAAACATGAAAGAGTACAATAGTACCCTGTTAAAGATCAGGGTACTATATACGGGGCGAGAACGTAATGATATACACATTCTACTGGTATGTTTATCAATCTAAATAAATTTCATAGATTATATTCCAGTACTCATGTATCTGTAGTTGTTATTTTCCAACCTCACTGATGAATTCCCTCTCTCTCACTTGCTCCGCTCTCTACAGACGCGGCGCGGCGTGGCGTTTTCTCTTCTTCATGGTTCGTTTGTCTGTTCCGTTCTACCATGAACCTCCTCAACACTGTCCTGTACCATGACCAGATAGCCGTGATCGTCTAGTGGTTAGGACATTGCGTTGTGGCCGCAATAACCCAGGTTCGAATCCTGGTCACGGCAGGTCAAATTTTTGTTTGGCAAATCTTTTTCATGTAGGTTTAGATGGAAACTGAATCGCAGTGTAATCAAAATCTC